AGGGGGGGGAAAAGGGAGAGAGAGAGAGAGAGAGAGAGAGAGAGAGAGAGAGAGAGAGAGAGAGAGAGAGGGAGAGGGAAGAATTCGAACGGTGGCGTGAAGAGAAAGAGAAAGTGAGAGAGAAATGGACAGAGAGAAGATGGTGAGAAAGGGACAGCGATATAGGTGGATACGTTTATTGGGAAGCGAGTCTGGCATTTGATTCGAGCATGTGCCACGGGTATACTGGAATCTGGACTGGCCTCGTGTTGAGGGCATTATAGTCGGGTTGTAGGTTATTAGGTGCGCTGGCTAATAGGCATCGATATAGCGTATTAATGGCAGGTAACCGGACGGTGATAATGGGTGTCAAAGGACAGTATTGCGAGAGCGACGCGCGTGAGCGATGGCTTTTACTTGCCGCGTTTTATGGAAAAATATAACATAATGCTATTAGCCTGACGCAATCCGGATACGCGCGTCCCTAATGCGTGTTTGCGTTTTTCGAACGACGACCCGAGCGAGAGAGACTTCCATCAGCCGGCGTGTGACGCACGGTTGAACATAAATCCCTGAAAAATCTGTAATCACCGTCGCAGACTAGCAGAATTCGAAGCTCTCTTTTCTCCCGCGCTCTCTACATATCTTTCTTTCTCTTTCTTTTTCTTTCTCTCCCATTCTCTCTCTCGTTCCCTCTCTCTTTCCGAGTAGACGAGTAGACGAGGACCGCAACGAGGCAGGCTGCGAATTCACTACTGATCATCCACCGGCTGGATTTCGATGTCGGATATGCACTGTGCGGGGAAGAAGAATGCGCGAACTCGCGCACCGCGATTTTTCCTGACTCGCCGGCTTTGCAAAGAGAGCGCGCGCGCGACCCGTAAGATCGTACATAACTCTCCCCTTTATCGCCGTGCCGAACTTAACGTACGAGCGCTCATCTGACGAGAGAAGACTCGCGAAAGAGAGACGAGCCGGCGAGAGACAAAAGGGCGTAGGCGGCGGGCGGAGACGGGCGGGGGCAGAGAGCGTGGGGCAGAAAACGATCGGAGGCAACGAGAACGGAAACAAAAGCGACGCGGGGCGATACGCAGTATGGCGACGCTTCCGGCTCGCTCACCGCACACAATGCACTCTCTCGTGTTAACTTCTGCGCCACGTTGCTCGGTCTCTCCTCGTCTCTCGCTCACCTCACCTCGTTCCGCCCTGCCTCGTCTCGTCTCACCCACGCCGCCTTTCCCGCATCTCGCGCCGCTCCTCGTACCTCATCTACCCTCCCGGCGAAAAGCATACATCCCCGTTTCACCCCGCGAGGACCCTCGCGATTCCGATATCCGACTCCAACGTGTTACTCGAACTGCTGTTAACCGGAATCGAAGTTCCGATTCGTTCCTTCGACGAGCTACGAGCAACAAGTTAAATATCCAGGAATTTTCACTGATCCCGCGCTCCCTTCACCGCTGCTTTTTATATCGAATAATCTCGGTCTGTTCTTAATATTTTTCTGTTCTCGACACTTTTCTCTCGCGTAAGAAACGCATGCGTCCTTTCGGTCATTACGCGCCTGTTGTCTTAATTAGGAGCGTCGAGGATAATCAAGGCAGATAATCTCCGGTTGTTGACGCGTCACTGCCGACCGTGCAATCTTTCACAGAATCCGAGCCGTAACATCGCGCACGTCTCACAACGCGAGTCTCTGTAGTCTTTGACACGGCATGCACTAGAAGATATTAAAACAGTGCGACGCTTTTGCTGGGCACTGGCAAGGAAACGGAAGCGTAACGCGCGCGGTGATGTTTTAAGAAATTAGTCCTCGTCGCTGTGTGTCGCAAAATGACACGATTTTATGGCTACGTTTGACCCTTTCGCCGGGAGTGGCGTTATTAATTACTTGTGTCGTCTCTCTCGCAGTCGGCACCCTCCTCTGCGCGTAAAACAAAACAATACCGAGTTAACGCACAAAGCTTTCGTCTTTTCGTAACACATCAAACGCTGTTAGTTGCAGATGTTCGATATACGCGTACAATTTATTGAAATTTAACAAACTAAACACACAAAAGTACCTGCCTACCCTATATATATAAATGATACACGCAAAATTTCTTTTTTTTATTTACAAGAGATGCACAAACGATGTAAAAATTGCCACAATGAATTTCTTATATCGAACCCGAAATATAGTTTGCATGGGCGAACCAACGAAGTTTTTGTACTTCTACCAGGTTTTCTTGTAGCTAAAATGTGATGACTATAGGCTATGAAAAAATGAGACAAAAAAATTCAGAGTATATTTTCAGCTATAAAATAACACCGCAAATCTGTATCGTTTATTTTATTTTTATTTCTTTCCGTTTATTCCGTTTAGGGCACAAGCAATTCAAGGGTATCTTCGAACGTGCGAATGAAAAGTCTTCAGTCAAATGAAAAGAGACCCAAAAAAATTTTGCTCCCTGTTACTAAGGAATTGAAATTCGAATTTTATTGAGAGACACGTTAGCAATAAAACTATAAACTTAATGAACCAACAGCCTCTATTTTCCCAACAAAATTACTACCAAACCTGGGAACCGATTAAAAAATGCCAAACCTGGAAACCGACTGTGAGAACGTGAAAACGAACGCAAGTATGCGATATAGTAGAAATTTTAAGAAATTATACCATACGTTATAAAAGAAAACGTTACACATCTATGGAAACTCAGCGCGCGCAAAACGTTCATTCATCATCGCTTCAAAATATGTTCATTCTCAAATTAGTGCGCTTTCACTACACGCGATGCAGCCACACGTTTGCGTTCTCATGTTCAGAACGAATCTTCCGTTACGGCCACCGTAATTAAAGTCAGAATTTGTTCGACGTAATCATTGCAACTCCGCCCTAAGAGTTAAAACCGATGTAATCTCGGAAAAGTTGATTTTTGATACTATGGAATAACAAATTTTAATTTACACTGAGTTTTTGACGATATAACAGTTCTAACAATATAACTGATGGTGGGAAAGAAGAGGCAAGGAAGAAGGAAGACAAAAAAACTAACAAGAACTTAATAGCAGTAAAAAAAATTAGTACCTGCCAATAACGTTGTTAAAGCTATTAAAATAAGCAAAACCATTTTGTCGTAACCCTTTGATCGTAAATCTCAGGAATATAATCCAGAACATGAACAAACGATTTCCGTTTTCCTGAGAAAGATACAAGCATTAAACAACACGTTACCTTGACTCAATATGGAAAAGATCCCGTAGTCTGAATCTGTTAGTCTCTTTTGTAGTCAAATAAACAACTGTGCTTAACATCCTACGGTTTTGAATGTAAAGCACCTTCCTTCCATTGTGAAAATTCTAAATCTGTTACCTCTACTAAGGATCACACGTATCACATGAGTCAACCAAATGGATACCCGAAGCAAAACCGAATATTGGCTCAAAACTTGTGCAGTTGTACTGGACATTTTGTCTATGTACTTGCACATATTTGATAAGTATAAAAAAATAATAATACTGTTTTGATATTTGTAAAAATAACGTTACGCAGTATTATTTTATTTTGTTTTATTACATCATGTTTCAACACGTAGGTTTTTGTAGGAATTTTATGCTGTTTGTATTGTGATAATAAACAAGCGAAAATGTTTGAAAACGGATTAACGTTAATTTTTTTTATTTTTACTTTATTTATTTATTTTTTACGAAGATGTAATACCTTCTTTTCTCAAGCTGAGAAAGACCTATTTAAATATTAGCACTTTTATCATTATTAAGAATACGTGGTACTATATTGCAAATATTCGTTGTAAAACGTGTGACAAATTGACGAGTCACGCGTTGGCACGCCGCGTGAAGAGGATCCAGTAGCCTTGGAGGTCAAGAAACGCGTGCGGCTTCGGGTCGTAGGTCGCACGAGTAGTGGGGTGATTCGAACACGTGCGCATGAGAATTTACGTCGTTATATAAGCGTGGCGTAGGTGGTTCGGTAGGTAGAAAGGTAGTGACGAGGGCGAAGCGACGGCCAGTATGACGAGGAGAACAGAAGGTAGAGGCAGAAAGATCGCGGAAGGGAGATGGACGGAACGGTAGAGAAGAAGAAGGATAATATGAAGATAAAACGAGAAGGAGCTATCTCGACTGCGAGAGGGAGGGAGAGGGAGGAAGGAAGGGAGAGAGGGAGGGAGGGAGAGAGAGAGAGAGAAAGAAATAACATAGTGTAAGAGAGTAAATGAGTGAGTGAGTGAGTGAGTGAATGAGTGAGTGAGTGAGAGAGAGTGAGAGAAAGTGAGAGAGTCAGTGAGTGAGTGAGTGAGTGAAAGAATGAGTGAGAGAGAGAGAGAGAGAGAGAGAGGGAGAGAGAGAGAGCGAACGACCGAGGTCGAGTGAGGTACGTTAAGGAAAAGCGGAGGCGCAAGCCACCCTTCGCGAGCACCCCTTTCGTAAAGCACCCCCTAAGCCTGGTTAGGGGCGAAGGCGGCGAGCCGCGGAGGCCACAACACGACCGCCGTCCTCATTGGTCGACGCGCTTGCCCTGGGTGGGGCTCCGGAAAAATTGGAGGGGAGAAAAATCCCCTCTAAATAGCTGTGGCTACGTTCGCTAAAAACTAGAGTCCGCTCAGCCGGCATCGGGTGCACGTCGATATGATTCGAACTTTGCGAAAGTTCATCGTGATAGACACTGCGGAAACGAAACGATAGACCTGACGACAGGTGTGAGGTAGTTCTTTTTTTTTTTTCGCCGAAAGTCGGAAGAAATAATGTGTCCTGTTTTATTACGAGAGGGCCGATTGTTCCAACCTCTTGGTAAGCTACTTAATAGTTAAATTATATATGTCTTCGTCTTTTCTTCAAAATAGACAAAAACAGACATATGATCTAACTGTTAGGTAGTTTACTAAGATATTGGAATAATCGGGTCTTACGCGCTATCGAAGCTTGTATGTGTCCTGTTCTAAATCATTGTGACGATAGTGTAATGCGGGAAGAGAAGTGATCATAAACGTGACCGACATAGTGTTCGCTCTAGTGTACGAGTGGTTTTCGCTAAAATTCAGACATATTTACCGTTCTTGCACCACGGAGGCCCACGAGAAATTAGCGGGAGGATGCCGGAAGGTCCGATTATAATGGAAGACTATAACGCGATTCACGAAGCTCTGCGGAGTTATCACGGTGACTTGGTGCAAACGTGTAGTCCGGCCATCATGTGCACCACGCTACCACCACATTGGAGGTCGAACAAGTCCCTACCGGTACCGTTCAAGGTCGTAGCGCTCGACGAGATCAAAGACGGTACTTTGGTCACCATCAAAGCCGGTAATGAGGACAATTACTGTGCCGAACTGAGAAATTGCACAGCTATCATGAAGGGTCAAGTCGCCAAGTTCAATGACCTCAGATTTGTTGGTCGAAGCGGAAGAGGTATTCAAGAACTTATGGCTACTGCTTGACGCTACATTATATTAGCTCTTATGTATGGCTTTTCTTCTCGTAAGAAAGTCAAATTTGGCCAATACGCCATCTTAACTCAAGTTCACATATCGCTACAAATTACAAACGCTTAAAGAATTGATGACGGAAAAAATTGATCTCTAATATTTAATGCAAATAATTCTTTACTCTTGCTACTGATTCTACAATAAGATTCTACAAAATTTGCAAATTTCTTTCACGTTTCTAAGCAGTCTCGTCCCACTGCATAATATAAGTTAAATCGAACTCCAAATTCGAATCAAACTAATCTAACACTAAGTATATCTATCATGAGAAAATGACAGAACTATGCGAGTTAATCGTAATTATATTCGATTATTGCAATATCATCACAAAATTATCATCAAAAGAGCACTAAAGATACCAAGATACACGTCATACTCGAAAATTAATGCAAATAAACAGACGCGTCATTGTACTCTGTAGTTGAAATTATGACATACGCTACTCGCGTATGTTGATCGGGACAAATCTCATTTTAGTTGGAAATCATTTTCAGGGAAATCATTTTCGCTGACTATTCAGATCGGTTCGACGCCGTTCCAAGTTGCTACGTATACCAAAGCCATCAAAGTCACAGTAGACGGACCAAGAGAACCTCGATCTAAGTCAAGTATGTTCACAGATAATCCTTATATAAAAAATATGTCCGCACTAGTTATAGATTTAATCTACAGAGCTGTTATACTTAGTCTTGTATAGTAAAAAATATATGTTTCACACTTACGCATTTAAGACCCATTTAACTACATTATTATCGTGACAATTGCTTTTATCTTACCACCGTATTTCACGCCGAAAAAAAAATTGTTTACCTCTCACTGAAGAATATCATAACAGCATGTGTCCGTCGTAAGACGGGTCCTTAAGCTTCGTCTACAATATGTGGAATATACTGAGAGAAAAATATAATTGCCTTTGGCATCAACTATACGCTTTTGTGATTTTAACCAGAAAAATAATTAGAAAATTGTTTTAGTAAGTGTTATTAGAAATATGTTCTTCTAATTATTTTTCTAGTTATATCACAAAAAAGTATAGTTGACGCCGAAAGCAACAATATTTTTCTCTTAGTGTAAGTTTAGCATATAAAAAAAGTAGAAAATAAAACTATTTATTTCACTTATATATATATATATATATATATATATTTATTTCACTTTTATATGTATATATATATATATATATATATATATATATATATATAAAAACTCTAGCTCCCTTGTACCGGAAATATTTATTTGACAAAAAGAAACTTTCGACGTAAGAAAGCTGAAGTATAGTGTAATAAAAAAAAATCTTATTTTTTAGTCTTCCTATTCCAAGTTTACTAACCAAACAATTCCCTCTTCTAATAATGTTCCATTTGCCGCACTTTTTGATCTCGCAGCCAGGACTACTTATATTGTACCATATATTGTAGACGAAGTTTTAAGGTCTATCACCAACGGGAGTAAAATATGGCTGTAAGGCCCAATCTACAATAGATGGAGTAGGAATAAAAAATAAGCAGTAAGCAAATTGACCAATTCCATTCTCACGTTTCAAAAATAATCGATTGTCTGTTTACTTACTGTGATTAGTCTGTTTACTTACTGCTTATTTCTTACTCCTACTCCTTACTTCATCTATTGTAGATCGGGCCTACGAAGTAAGAGTAAAAAATTGACTAATAACGAATGTGAGAAGAATAATTTACTGTAATTGGTGAATTTCTTATTCTTACTTTTTACTGTCACACTTCCACACATTGTAGACGGTCTTTTAAATACATTCGACACAAAACGCAACTATCTCTCGCATAAGACGCGTACGTTGCGCCAAATAATAACGTGTAAAGTAACGAATCACGGCTCGCAATCACAATTTGATTGCAAACGATCAACAATAAAAAAAAATCGACAGTTTAGACAGACATCGGATAAATGCGTCATGTTTCGCGATCGATCCCATGAACTCGTTCCGCTCGCAAAAGTAACCCGAACGACGAGGCGCCGGACGAGGCGACGTCGCGGCGAAGTAGTCCTGGCCGCGAGATCGAAAGGTGCGGCAAATGGGACATTATTAGAAGAGGGAATTGTCTGGTTGGCAGGTCCAAAGTCGTCGGAAGCTCCGCGACCACCGTGGAATCCGCAAACGGGCGTCGGAGCCTCGCGGGCGTTTAATAATCCGGCGTATATCTGGCGGACCTCAAACCGCGAGGTAGTGGCGGTGCCGCTGAACGGTGCCTGCCTGCCTGCGAGCCCTCGACGCCGAGCGTCGCTCGCACGTGCAAGAGCGAGCGCGCGCACATGCACGCCGCGCAAGAGCACATGCAGAGCACACAGACACACGCACAATTGTACATGGGCCACGGCACACACCTACCAACATGCGCATGCACACACACGCAAATACAGATGTGTGTACGTGCGAGCGACCACAAGCCCGCGCGCACGTACACACACATATATCCACCCACGTCGAGACCTGGCATTGTGTCAAGCCGCGAAAACGCGATCTTCGTCGTCATCGTCATCGTCGTCGTCGTCATCACCGTCGCCGTCGGCGCGTTCTTTAGCTACTGCGTTTATTTTTCCCGAAACTCCGGTTGGTCGCCGTGGCCCACTAAATCGGACTGTTTATCGGTCGGCAGCAAAGCCGGCGGGAGCAAAGGAGTCGGAAGAAGACGCGGGGAATACAACTCCGCCGCTGGCAGAGGATGGAAACCGACGTCGACAACGGCGACAGGGATGCAGAGAGGGAGAGAGGGAGAAGGAGATGGATGCCTGGCAAAAGAAGCCGCGTTTACGCGTTTGTTTATCGCGCCGCATATGGCGGTAGCATGTGCCGCGCCACGAAAACCCGCGCCACGTCGTATAACGGATTTTATGCCGTGCTCGTATAAACAGAGATACACTAGCTGCTCCTCCGGGTCGTCCGGGAGAGCGCTGTTAATCTTCGCTTTATAGGTCTTGGGTGGCCGTGTTCATGTTTTTCTCTTTTTTTCGGTTGTTTGTCCGTTCGTTAATCGCGCCACGGACTTCATCGTCGGCTGGAAGGATCTTGTAACGGGTTCGTGCGTTTCTTCAATTTTGACACATTTATTAACGACTCTGCGATGTAGACTGCGTATAAAGGAGAGCAAGAGAAAGAATCCCGATCGATCAAAGTTTCTCTCTGCGAACGGATCGCAGTGAGTGAGAAACGTAGAGATCGAGCGAAACGACGGTTTATCAGTTCTATTTCGATCAGTCGAGTACGTCCATGTTTAGTATCCCGATTCTCGTTTTACAGATTATCAATATGGTCCAGGATTTCCCGCATTAAGCATATTCAACCCTGGATGGCTGGACGGGAGCTATTTCGGGCATCATTGGACAACACACTTAACGCAACCGGTTCTACTTAAAGGTAAATGCTTTCACAAAAATCTTGAGCATGCAGACTCGATATTATTTCTCGCGCGAGAATGTTCATTCTTAAAATAGAAACTTGAGAATGGGAATAGATCTGTAGTTGCTTGCGTATGCAACGGACTTGTGTGCAATTGTGATTTACCGCATGTTAATAATTAGTAGTGGTAATAACAGTATAATTGGTAATGATAGATAATGGTAGATTTAACGTGTGTAACTCTATTCATTAGGGAAAAACTAATCTGTCATTTCATAATATTTCTTAACCCTCCAACGAGCGCGTGGGGTGTTTTTTACACCCCAGACTTCTTTTTTCTTAGATTTCACATAGAAATAAATTTTTTTCAGTGCCACACTCCTCAGTACCTTTCTTTAATACTCTGCCTAACCTTTTGGTAACCCGTTGGTAGCGTTCATGAATTTTAATTAGTATCGTCTATCGACGCTGTTAAAGTCGGCTGGGATGTAATTTACATCCCACGCACCCACTCACATTACAGACCCACTTTGGATCTGTTCGTGTTTCTTACACTTTCCGTACTTTTCGCACTTAGAATGACACGGGATACATTAGGAACGTATTCGGACGCTGCGAAAGCAAAGTGAAAACAATACAAACAGATTTATTATTATTTTCGTAAAAATAGTGATTATTAGTAAAATGGTATGATTGATAAAACTTTTTCGCACTATTATATTATCTTGTATTGTTGATTGGTCATAAACCTAACTAACATAACCAAACTAACCTATAAACCTAACTAAGATAACCTAACACGTTATTTTTATATATGTGTGTGTATACTAACAATTAAAATACGATGAACAAGAACGTGGAATATTAAAAAATATGTTTTCTGTATGTGATATTATAGTTGCTTTTATAGTATTAAAATTTATGGTTATGTTATGTTTATATTAAATAAATATTTTTATGTTGTATCAAACAAATATTTTTATGTTGTATTAATATTACATTATTGTATTTTGTTGTATTATTATTATAAATTTTATATGAAATAAGTGCGTATATATATATTTTTATTGCATTTTGATTAAATTACATTAAATATTTTGATTAAATTACAAAGAGAGAGAAATTGTGTTGAAAATTTATTTTAAAGCTGTCTTCTCAAGACGGTCATAATACTCTAGCCATCATTTGCTATATTAAAATTTTAGCAATCTATCCACGAATTCAGTTTCCTTGAAACTTTCTCTTACAAATTACACTATGCAACGGTAAATTTTTTATAATAAACCATAAGATTTTTCAAGTTATTGAACAGCTTGTAAAAATTGAGTGCTCTAGACTCATTTCAATATAAAACTGGTTATTATTCAGAAAACATTAAAATATAACAATACAATATAAAAGTAAATATAACATTACAATATAAAACGGGTTATTATTCAGAAAACATTAAAATTAAAGTTTCAACTTGTTAATATAGCTTAAGAAACGTGTAACGGAAATTATATAGAATTATATAGGAAATTATATAGAAAATAAAAAATATTAATTGTTTTAATATTTATAAATAATGTGGGGTGTAATTTATATCCCACGCGCCCGTTTAAATTTCAAATTTTGACGCACCTATTGGAGGGTTAAAAAATCGCATCGATTAACCGCGTTGAGTAACTTCTAACCAATTGAGTTACATTTTCATGCATGCGCATTTTCGTTTCTGTGACTGCATTTCCTTTAGTTCATCATAAATTACGAATCGCAAAGAAGAGCGCGTATCGCGCGTCTCCCTAGTGCAAATCCTACAATAAATTGTACAAAGTCGCCACGCACTCGAAAGAAAAAGTGAGGAAAAACGAGAGAAGAATCAAGCGGGAAAAATCTCTGTGCATCACAGAGCACAAAAAAGAGACTCAAAAGAGAGGCCCCGCGTTGACTAGAGAGAGAGTCCGCATTATCGATTTCGTCGAGTTCGCGACGCCTGCCGATGATTCATACCCCCCTAGCTGGACCTAGGGGTGAGTCTGAGCTCCCTTTTCCCACAGCGGACCCCTCTTCGACCCCCCGTCGCCTCGCCTCGTCTCATCTCGCTTTCTCGCTCTTTCTTTCTCTCTCTCTTTCTCTCTCTCTCTCTCTGTAGCTCACGTACGTCTCCGCCGTCGTTGAAACAACAATGCGACTTACCACTACGCCCGTCGCCCCCGCGAGTCGGCCAAGATTAACCGATTCTCTCTTCGTCATCGTGCAGGGTCCCTGCCAATACCAACGCACACGGACTTGTTCGCGGGATTCCCGTCGCCAGTTATTCCGTCATACTCGTTTATACCATCGTACCCACCAGCAACTACCTACGAGGCGACTAGCACGACGACGACGACGATGACAACAACCACGACCACGACGACGACCACGAACACCAACAGTCCGTCCAGAAGCGCGTCGTCGCTGAGCCCCAGCAGTGGATCCAGCAGCGGGTTCAGTAACGGCTCCGAGGGAGGTAAAGGAACATGTGGCGAGGAGGCGCGAAGCGCCTTCATGCGCATCAAACTCAACACCGCCATACCGCCGGAATCATCCGCGACGCCCGAGCGGAGCTCGACACCGGACAAAGAAAGCAGTGATACTAAACAAACGAAGGTACCGAAACCAGTGTGGAGGCCGTACTAGTCCAAATAGGTGAGCAGCACCGATAATCGATTCGAAGCGCGAAGAAATGGAACGGCAAGTAAGAGTCCCGTCGCAATTGTCGATAAACAATTATCGTAATTAGTTATACAAATTATCATGCCGATCATGAACAATTGTCATCTGTCCGCAATGAACAGTGCCAAACGCATGTACATATAGGGTGCGTTCGTGTTTTTCTATCTTTATCGCTCTTTAGATATACGACAAAGACAGAATGTGGTAACGCTAAATAGCGCTAATAATGAGCTCCCCGAACGCACCCATAGTCATATGTGAATACGTAATATATATTAATACATAAATACGGTCGAGGAAGTAAAATATCAAACACATACGTGGGGTCCAAACAGCAAAACAAGCGTAACTAAAAAAGCAACTTCAACCGAGCGTCACGCGCAGATAGTGAATCGGCGGCACGAAGTGAGACTCTGATCGAACGGATTTCCTAAGCCGGTGTATGAGAGTCTAGCTTTCGTAGTTCGACCGTAGTAACGATCCGCGAATCTTTTACCTTACGAAAAAGCGACATTCGCGTTGCAGTTTGATACGTAGAAGTGGAAGCGTAACTTACGGATAAAAGAATGATAGTTATCGCACTGGAATCTTTTGGTTGCTTTGTAAACTTTTCCGCCTCGCGCGACGACTATATTTATAATACGATGGACTTATAATACGTATACATGCCACCGAAGATCATCATTTGATGATATCATCGTTAATGTTCGGCGTTACGACACACGACAATTGCGCCCAGACAACTACGGTGGAACTCTCATTAGACATTTCTTTCCTTCATGTTCTGAATTGTCATCAACAGCCCCGTACTATACCATTTGTATGTACGATGGAAGGCTAGTGATAACGTCTATGACGGACATCCGAAGCGGCCCGTCCTCGATTGGAAAATGAAAAAGTACCCGAGGTACATAATATAAATCCCTGTTCTTCTTCTCATTCTTAGCACCGAGTGTATTCTGCTCTTCGGTTTTACGAAGATACAGATAATGAGCACGAAGAAATGACGGGATTAACATTAAAATAGTTCACAGAGCATTTTTTCTAAATGTAAATAGTTGTATATACTCGGATTGTACATACCGTGTAGATAGTTCATGGACAATAATATAGTTTAGCAACGCGAAGTCTTATGTACGCTACCGTTATGGAATGTTAAAAAAATTTATATATATATATATATATATATATATATATATATATATATATATTATTTTTAAGAAAAATATTTCTTATATTAATTTTTTTAATATCTTCTTCGTAGAATCCGAGATTCATTTATAAAATTAGTTTAAATAAGAAACAAAACGATTTTGGAAGTAGCGTATAAAATTGTTCTGAGAACTGTTATTATAATAAAAAATACTTATTTTGGATTAAAATTATGACGGATTTTTATATTGTATCTGAGATCTATATTGTAAGATTTATTTTCACATTTTTTTCGCTAACAAAAAGTCAATTTTGATTAAAACGCGGCTAATAAAATCTCTCAACGCGTTGACTTCCTTGTTGAAGGAAACCGCTGCTACTTCTGTTACGTGAAGTCAGAATGTCAATGATTTGAAATGATTTATACTAGCAGTAAACAACTATATTCCACAATATCTTTTTTTCTAGTTTCGCAAAACCTTCACTATTTTCATTCACTCTATCTCTCTTTGAACGTTTCTTTGTGGACTATTCTGATACCATTGATTCCTCAGGAAAAAAATCGATTCTTTTCGCGCAGTCGATTACACGAATACTCGTGACGCTTTTCTCGTTTATACAAAACATAATAACATCCATTTCTACTTTAGTGTATCTCATATTTGAAAATTTGACAGCTCTCACTGCTGCCAGTGCGTAGGCACGTGCACGCAAGAGGCTCGCAAGTCTCAACTTCGTGGTCGTGGAACTCGCAAGAGAGATGATAATTTTGAGATAATTTAGAGAAAACGTATGAAATTACGTTTACTTCGTATCCCTCACGGTAGTGTACATACGTATACTGTGTGTATCTACGCGAGAGAGCGGTTACAAATAAAATAAAATATTACTGTAAATGGTACAGTATGTAAATGGTAAAGACTCTTAGATGTGCAATCAATGAAAAGGAAAACAACTTACGAAAGCATAAATCACGAATACTAATAACGCATAAGCATACTGATAACGGAACTTATAAAGATACAAGATATTTCAAAGAATACATGCACTAAATGCGTCTCGGTTCGCACTTCGAAACCTTATCGATGATTTTCTACCTCTTATCTTAAGCCCTTCTTCCTTTTCGTCGATTGTCAGAAAACTAACTGTAAATGGCAGAGATGCTAGAAGTGTAATTTAATGTAAATTGGTTGTATGTGGATCTAAAAGAATGCAAGAGGGAGAATAAAATCGAACTCTACGTCAAAATACTTATGACAATCCGTCGTATTTAATCGCGCGTCATACGCACGTCTCACCCTACCACTTTTCAGCCTCGCTAAAATAATATACTTAACGATCGATCGATATTATATCATAGAAATGATCGAAATGTCGCAGCTCGCGCGCACCATTCTCGCGAGTGTCAAAAAAGTCGTCGAGCGATTCAGACGTTGCGAGCAGAAAGGAAGAATATGAAAGAGAGCGGAACGTCGTGCTCCGTGCCGCTGCAAGGGGAATCCATATCTTTTTTTTGTCGCGATTTAAATCTGAATGGTCGTCGTACCGCCGCGCGGTCGTTCCGACTTCTTCATGTGTGCGCTCTGGGGATTTCATACACAAGTGTCCTCACACAGGGGAATCCCGAGCATAAGGGTAGAGAATGGTTTATATCGAGGGGAGTGTGTGAGATCTGTATTAGTACCTATAGGTTCAGGACATCAGCGGTTCTCAAGTTTCGAGCGTGCCGAACAAATCCGACGGGTCAGTGGTTCCTCGCGTGAGATCGCCGGAATCGAGACCGTGAGTCGATTTTTTCGCGAAACGCGCACTTTTCATAAAACCGTAAACACGCCGCTCGGCGACGCTTGGCGACGTTCGGTTCATTCAGCGAGATATCGCATAACGCGAAACGTCCGTCGGGACTGTGCTGCATGACGCTGAAACACGACCTGGGGTAAGGGATAGCTTTTTTTTCTGAATTGTTCCGGTCGTGTTTGTCAACTGGTGCACAGAGTTCGAGCGCAGTTAATCTCGGTGACGTCGAATAACTCAATTTTCGCATTCCGGTTGCAGGTGCAACGTATACGCGAGCGAGCGCGCGCGCGCGCGTCGTCGATATGTACCTTCGGATCGAAAACGTTGCAGAAATTCGATACGCTGCGCGTAAACGCGTCGACACGGTGTAAAATCTTGATCAGATCGCCTTGATTAAAAATCGCGATCGAGCGCGGCCTGAATTTTCAAAAGTCACCGACACCATTCGCCGGTCGCATACAGCGATCTCTTTTTCTCCTTCCCTCCCTTTCTCTCTTTCTCTCTCTTTCTCTCTTTCTCTCTCCCTCTCTCTCGCGCGCGCGCGCGCGCAGCTTTTGCGCGGAGTTTAATGGGATTAGCCCCGGCGAGAAAATGAGAACCGCGTTGACACCCCGTGTGTAGCCGTGGGGCTCTGTTCGTTGACGAGTAGACAACGGAACCAAGCAACCATGAAGGGTCGCCACACGAACCGATCCAAGCCAATCCAACGCGCGAGCCAGCCGGCGCTAACTAATGTTTGCTCAAAGAATCGTCATGTATAATTGAGTCAGCCGCGGCAAGGGCGGAAAAAATCAACGGGTGTACGTGTGAATCCCCGGGAATGAATAATCGACTTTCGGTGTACGCAGAGACCTCCACTAGCGTGTGTCCAGGTAACAAAACCGCTCTTATTAGAAGGATCGTTTGGTATTATGCGCGGCGGCAGTCGCGAATCGTCGCGCTTCCATTCCGTTTCCCCGGTCATTCCGCGGCCGATGTACGCGAGCCGGGCAGGTAGCGAAAATGAACACTTCTGCAGATAATTATAGCAACGAAACGCGCATGTATATTTCCACGAGAATCCTTGTAACGATCCAACTCGCGCACATTATCGAATATGAAAGATTCATACGGCGCGAAGTAAAAATTTTAATAATACACACACACACACACACACATGTGCGTGTATGTGCACACAGCCCGAGCACGTCAAATAAAATTCATTTCGATTATTCAGTATGTCGAAATAAAATCGAATTATTTTAACTATTCCAATTAGCCGGGCGCACGCGGAGACCGGCGTGTATAATCGGTCGAACGAGGACTCCGGAACCTCGCGCAGCGATTGAAGTATAATGCGACGCGGAAGGAGTGGTTGATTCGCTTCGTCGACATGCCCGAGAGGACGTCGATCCTCTTCGCCGGCCGGTCTAGGATCGTGAGGACCCTGGGGTTTGAGGGTCCTAGAGTTAGGCAATCAGCGCTGATGAGGGGGTTGGCCGAGGGGTGAAGGGCTCGGACAATTAGTAACTACCCCCCGCGTCTGCCCGCCCTCTCACTGTGTGTCGCTCTCGCCCGGTTCACCTGCCCAACAACGCGCCGACCGCAGGCGTTACGCATGCGAAAGAGGCTGCTGCCGCCGGACGACGGACCGGGATGCTGCGTTTACGTACGTAGGTCGCGTTGTACGCGCCGGATTACGCGCTCGTAAAGGTCTCTCTTCACGGCTGCAGAGGCAGTGTCAACGCGATCCGCACGAGATAAATTCGTCAGGGCAGGTTTACGTCGATAATAAATGGGTCAACGGACGGTTCATATCTTGTCGCAAAAGCGTAAATTACGCTGACGCGTTGGTGTCTACGAGAAAAAGGG